CAACCCAATTGGTATCTGATAGTCTTGCATCTTAGTGATCCATTGTTAGCTAATATCAACAAAGGGTTTATCCATCTCAATGAAGTAAACCAAATGGCAACCCCATGGATAATAACTTGCACCTTTTCGCTATCTAAATCCATTTTTTTTGCCACAGCCAGAAAATAAAAGCCAAATATTGGAATATAACATATAAAGAAGGCACCTATTAATTGCCATATCAATCGTATAGCTTTATTCTTTCTTCCGTTTGAAAATGAGTTGTGTAGTAGACTTTTTGTTATGTTTTTCGACAGTTTGAGGGTGTGGATGATAGATATATACAAGCTTATGGAAATGGTGTAAGGAAATATCATGCCTGTTTTTATATTTTTTGGGTAAAATTTAATAAATATTAAAAGTTTGATATATTTAAAAAAAGTTACATTTTCATAATAATAATATTTTAAGGGTCTAAAAAATTTGTTTTTTATTTTAATAAAAGAATTGTATCGATTAAAGTTTAAAACAATTATACTTTCCTTTTAAAATTATTTTTTACCTATAGTAATGATCCATATCAAATAATTTCTAAATAGTTTAGCGTTCAACCTACAATACGAATTATAAGAAGTTGGGTTGAATATCTTGATAATTAGAAATACGGAAGGCAAGGTTATAACAGCTAAAATTATAGTTAACAGGCTCCATATAATGTGTTTTTCGCTAGCCTTAAATGGGTACACTATGGCCCTGAACTGATTGATAGCTATAGCTAAAATAGTGAAAGAACTCAGATAGATAAACATTTCTTCGAAATACCAAATAGTAACCTCTTTTCTGCACAAAAAACTATCTGATACATTACTATATTGCCTACTGGAATTGTAAAAGAACGATATATGAAAATGAGGCATGCAAATAATAGCAGACATAATATCGCCGCAAGCTCTAAATGCGAAATAGCATTGGACCGGGTATGTGAAATCTTGTTTATTTTTAAAAATAATAATTTTGTTGATCCTACTTGTTCTCTGTGTTGATTTTTCTAATGAAGTTGATCCTTTGATTTGATTCAAGGAATTTCTCAAAGGAACTATAATGAACTGGAACCAGTCAGGTATTGATTTTCCATATAGGGTCCATAAAAAGATGGAATTGATTAGCAATATTATTATTATTTGAATAACGTATAAAGGAACAAATATATTTTTATAATGACCAAGATTTAGGCCAAATATTTTTTCCATAGAAAGCTTAGAATTATTTCCCTGTACTGCCATGTTAATGATGTTGTTATATATTATTTTTTTTATAATTTGAAAATATTAATAAGTTAATCTATGGTAAATGAATACGTAGGTAATTTATAAATATATAATATATATGTAAGGAGAATGTATGATATAGGTAATGAATAAATAATTAAGCGTTAACTAAAGAAATAAGAAACGGGGAAAAGGGGAAGGGGAAAGGGATAAATCATGAATAATTAATATTTATAAAATGTTTATTTTGTTCAATATAATATTAATGCATTCACCGAACATGAATCATCTTTAAACCGATATTAGCCGCTATTATCAACCGAACTTAAACTGAACTCATAAAAATTTGTCATCTGAATCTGACCCGAACCTCAAAAAATTACTAAGAACGGATCTTTTGATATTTAAACTCTTTTAAAAATGTTAAAAATGACATTTTTTTAAGGTAAAAAAAATCGATATTTTTAGAGGGGCTCTTCAAATTTTTCACGGGGCTTTCCCTACTGACGCTATTGGATCACTGATTATATTAGATTCTTATTAAGTTTTCATTTTTATAAAAAAAAATTTTTTAAAAAATTTTAAATTATAAAGTTTATAACTTTTTACTAATTTCAAATTCTTCTTTAGAGTGACATATTGAATACGTTTTAGGAGAAAAGGAGTGGGGATGTCTAGGGGTGATCTTATTAACGTACATATGATATTTAGGAGAATAGGCGAATTTCCGAATTGGGGAGGGGTTGGCTACACCTATGAATCTAATAAATCCTATCTATCAGGAGATAAAAATTAAAATTTGTTATAATCTTGGTTAAAAAAAAATTCAATAATTTTCATTCATTAAATTTTTCAGAAATATTTATAATAATCCAATTAGAATGATCTATTTGAAAAAAGTTCACGTAATTGATTGAGAATGATGAAGGCAAATTTTATCACTATCGTTATCCTCGAAATCAAAGATGCTCATAGTGGTATATTCAAATGGTAATTTTGTAACTTATGGTTAGTGTTATGACTTATGGGTTTTGTTGCAGAAAACCTCGATTTTATTCTTTTTGAACATTTAAAATCATAATTTTAGCTAAAAAATATTACCTAAGCCTCGAGATTTCGTATATAGTTAACAGAGGTTTGGCCTCATTTGACCAAATCTTAAGACTTAGGAAAAAAAAAGATATTGGTAAAAATCTTGATTTATTTATTTTTAAAAATAGGTAACATTGAGTGTTTTACACTATATTTATGAATTATAATTTAGAAAGATGAGGCCATTCAGAAACTATTATAGTGTTAGCGTTATATGTCTTATTTTTTTCAACTAAAAATTTTTTTAAGTGTTTTTTTAACATTTTAAAAATTTGATTTTACCGGAAATGTATTTCAGCATGTTTAAAGTATCTGTTATTGGGAAAGCCTGGCCAACTAATTTTTTCGAAAATAAATTTAAACCGGCTGAGCCAGGCATGTCGTATATAAAAAATTTTTGGCCGGGCTGGGCAATTAAAAATTAGGGCCGGGCTTTCACAAAACTTTTATATATATTTTCTATATAGGATTTCTTTATTAATTTTTTTTTTAGTAAAATATAAAAATAATATTTAATTCATAACAGATTTTTGTAAAATTCCGCTTCAACCCCCAACCGCCTACCATTTTTTAAAAAAATGTATCCAAAAAGTTAAATTTATTTTATATTTCTTGTTAAATTAAAAAAATAAAAACTATGAGGATAAATAGAATGGAGGATGGAAAGAAAGAAAGAAATGGCACACAACTTTTGGAATTAATGATAAATGGATAATATTAAAAACCAACTATTTATTTTTATTTTTTAAAATATGACATCTTCATTTAAAATATAGCATAATTTATAAAATAAAACTATATTAAAATAACACATAAAAAATTGAAAAAAACAATTTTAAAAATACAAAAATATGAATGATATCTATAAAAAACATATAGGAGGAGGGAGCAAAAAAAAACTCCCATTGAGATCCAAGGAAACTAAGATAGTTGCCTCGGAATATGACGGTTTGAGTTAATTGTAACATTTTAAAAGAGGATTCATGATCAACATTAATTTAAAATTTTACTTAAAATTATAATTATAGCCTAGGGTCCTATTGGTAGTAACAATTAATTGGGATAAAGTGAAAATCAGAAAAGTCTTATCTGGTCTTTTCCCATCAGACAGGGATAAATATGACGGAATTCTGAAGGTTTGGATAGTTGGCCAACCCATTTGTTCGAGATTATAGATTTAATAGCTTCATGGAAGCTTAAACTGTTCTTTAGAATATAAATAGGTTAGACTATGTCGACTCTTAAGATTGTGGTCTTTCCCACACCCTTTACATTTGTGGAGTTGACATAGGTCACAGCCAAGTCTATACCCTATAGTCATCCTCAGCATTGTATTTCATTTTATTTTACAAAATATTTTATTCACGATTAATATCAAGAAATGTTAACCAACAGAAATATAATGATATTTTCTAACCAATTTCTGACCGGGATTGTTAAGGTGGATAAATCGAATTAAATTTATTTTTCAAGTGTTTTTGAAATCACACCTATTTATTGTTATTCGATAATATAGTATCAAGTTTAATCTCTAAAATAAGATATTTGAGATATAAATTACCTAAGGAAATTTTGTCGTCGGATCTAACTGGAAAATGATTTTATTTTATTTTTTTATTGATAACATTTTTGGACAAAATGATAACTAGAAAAATGTATTATGTTAAAATTCGTCGGATGCTATTGAATTCAACATCATAGTCTAAATCGAAACCAAACTATTTTTATTGACATCTGAGCTTGATGACTTAATTGGTTTTGTTAAATGTATATATTCTCATACACAACGATAATTCCTTTCGTGCAAATAGTTTTGCGATAATGACCTGATTATGAAACTTTTTTTTCCCTAAATGATATATATATATAATCAACCTTTAATATGTGGTACAGCAGCTATTTTATATATTTTTCACATATTATTTTATATAAAATAGTTATTCTACATAAGAAAGTAGCAAATAAATTACAAAATATTTTTTTTTTGAATGTTTTAAAGTCATATGTCCTGGTCTCTCACATTGCCATAGAATTTATTGATTTTGATGCAATAAATGCAAATCTATTCTTTATAGATACCTTAAGATATTCTATATAATTTCGGATTTAAAGTTGACCATGTATATTAAATATTTTTAAAAATATTCTTTTATTAACCAAAACTATTATTTCATCTTACACTGGGTAACTTTTTCCCTAAGAAATTATTATTTCTATTATTCCTAATAAACATTCGATAAATATAAATTTATCTACAAATTATTAAGATTACTAATTATCAATGAAGCCCTAATTAAGCTTTTCTGAGAAAGCCCTAATTTTTTTATTACTTAGACAATAAGAGAAAAATTTTGAATCGCCTAAATATAAATTTTTATTGTAAGCAATAGATAAATTTATATGTACTCCAGGGCATCTCGCTTAGTTTAAATAAAAGGGGAAAAATTATTTAAATTGTATGGCTAGAATGTAGCATGTGCACCGAATCGCTGTCAGATTTGGCATCGTTATTGTATAAATGCGAGATTATTTCAGTTATATCAAAGATATAATATAATAGGTTTATCAATAATTTATTTCATTTTGCAATAATCATTTCGGGCATAATTTAAGAAATTAAATTACATCTTGCAAAATAATTAATATAATATATAAGATTAACATGTTTTAACACTATTTTAAGCACTTCGCAAAGGACAAGCTTCTATATCGTTGATGATCTGTCTAAAAGAATTCCATAACTGAAGATTTTCTGTGCAAACCATTCCCCCTGATCTCTTTTCTTGATGCAACTTGGATATTTTTTTAAATTTTTTGATAATATTTTTTTTTCCTAGTTATAAAACTATTTCCTTTGCTTTAAAAAATGATCAATTAAATATTAATAATTAGCATTTTTTTTATATAACACTTTTTCTGGTCACCAAATTTGGTATATATTCAATTAATAATTTACTTCCCGATTTAAATCCCCGATACATACGACTGGTTTATTAATATTGGAATTTTTGTGAATTTTGCTGGTGGCGGGAAAGGATTTTGGGTTAGTTACTGCCCACTTGGAATGATCCACGAATTCGGAAAAAGATATGTTCCTCTGAGAATCAGAAATCTTGGTTATAATAAATAAACGGATAAATATAGAGTTAGGGGAAAACATTTCATTGAAAAGGCGAATTGCTATAGTTCTAAAGAATTTGGCATTGTTTTTTTTATATTCCCAAACGAAGAGTTATTTGCCATACGAAATATGGCCATTCCCAAAAATAAAGTTTCGAAATAAAAATCTACAAATATTTTTTTTGCCCAAAATTTTATGCGAGATATTCTTTTGAGATTGCAAAATTGAAATTTTAAGATCAATTATTTTTTTTAAAAAAACATTTATAATTTCAATCATATAAGAATTTTAATACCTGTTAATCACAAAAGATTTATACTTATAAAAGATTTTTTACAATGATGATAGCGTTTGGGCTGAAAATCTTATAAAATATCTTCGATTTCATATCATTTTTCCTCAAATATTGGAAAGACATAAATAAGGCTTAATAAATTTTATCAGTTTGCCAATAAAAGGCTCTTAGTATATTCAGCGCGCCTTTACATTTATTTGTACCTATTGTGGTTAACATATACAACTGAACAATATATATTTTTTTAAATTAATATAAATTATCTGCCATATGAATTTTTCTTAAACAGGTGAATTAATTATGTATTCTGAGCTAAAGGGTTCTCAGTTCAAGTTTAAAAATATTGTTTTTTAAAAAAAATGAACTTTGTTATCATTGGAATTGATATTGAAAGAAATTCCTTTGATATTTTGGACAGTTGGGTGCCTAAAACAAGAAGAGTTTAGCGCATGTTTGGTGTCTTGTTGCCAAGTTTCAGAAAGCAGGTTAGATTGGTAATAAGGAGCTATCAGATCACTGTATATATCTTTATTTTAACCAAATTAATGTCCCTTTAACATACCCCTCCTAATATATAAATTTTTTAATTATTAGCGTATTGAGTTATCGTTATCTATGTAACAATGCCTTCCAGTAGTGTATCTATGAAATTACAAATAATTATTTCCAGGGATTTTAGAATCACGATACTTTTACTTTATTTTACAAACCCCGTATAAAATTTTAAAATCTTAGTGACCGGAAAAAGGTGCAAGAACTGTTATTGAGATATTTGGCATCCTTTAATTAAGTATATGGAGATCTTGAGAAAGAAATAAAAATATAATGAATAGGATCTAATTTAGAAATTTATATATTTTAAACCGGCGTCAAATTTCTTGTATTTGGCAAAAGCAACAAAAGGAGTCTTATTTCTCAAAGAATGAAAGGTCTTGATTAAGGTCCAAGGTGGATTCTTATCCGTCGTAATATCCTTATTTTGGCTCAGCCATTTGAGATACTTATTTCCTACCATAAACTCATCGGGTACATTTTTGTCGTGTATGTAAGGAGTGTCATAGTATATCAACTGACCTTTATTTTTTTTTATAAATTTTGATTTTATTGTTATTGTGGTAAAATATCCCTTATGCCAATCAAATATTTTATTTGCAAAAGGGTTATACCGTAGTAAAAATATTAAATGATAATTTTAAAAAATCTAGCTTAGATTTATTGATTGTTCTTATTAGAAATGTGCCGATCTGTAAATTTTTCATGGATCCGATCCGATATTTTCCGATATTACTAAAAAAATGATCCGATATATATTGATTTTTATTTATCATCTAAATTATATAAATATATCTATATTTTCTACTTTAAAAAAAACCAACTAGCTTTCACGAATGATTAAGTGTATTTAATATTTTTTTTATTTTTTAAAAATTAATAATCTTATTTCAAATATTTGCAAAGTTTATATTAATTTATTATTATGAAATTATTTATAAAATAAAAAAAATTATATGATTATAAATTATAACATAACCAAAAAAAAAATAAAAAATATAAGATCAGTTTTTTAAAAAAGATCGGCCCGTTCCGATATTTTTTCAAAACGATAAATATCGATGCCGATCCGATATTAAATATCGGCACAGCCCTAATTCATATATTAAAATCCTTTGTAATTTATTGGAGAACACCGGTTTTAAGAATGTAAAGACAAACAGATAATTCTTACTTATAGTGAAAATTTGAGAATAATCAAAGGAGACACAAAGAAAAACTTGTCCATTATATGCTCCGTTTGGTGGATAAATATATCCGCCTAGTTTATTGGGTGATGTCATATTTTGGGAAACCGCGGCAGGAAAACGGGGTAAACTATGTATCAACCAAGCCCCTGTGCTTTTATTGGACATCAAGACACCTTGTAAATATTAACAAATAACTCAACAAATTGGTTTTTATATAAAAAATGATAAATAAATAGAAGGTCTTTAGCTAGCATAACTTTCCAGGAAACCATAAATCTGTGGCCCCGTGAATGTTCAGGGCCAATCTATGTTTTTACTTGATTTTCATCAAACAAAAGTGGTTCATTCATTAAAATACCCATGTTAATCTCATTAAGTAGATTAAACCTATCCCAGCTTTGTCATACGCTAAGAAAAAGTTGCCAGAAAGAAAAAGATATATATCTAAACATATTTAAAGATAAAATATGAGCAGAAACCTTTTGTGTGTCCCATAGATTCGTGTTCTTTTCCATTAGGACTTTCGTCGTTGTAACTTAGAAACATGAAATCCTATTTTTTATAGTTTCGAATTTATATAAAGCGAATCGGGTAATCAATAAATTTAGTTTTAAAAAATCTTGATAATGTAATGTTAGATTAAACTATATGTATACCTTTCCTTACCCTATGAAATATTTTTCTCTCTATGAAAGTTTAAGAATTGCTTGAATTAGCCTAACATTATAAAGGAATGTTGTGAGGAGAATAATTTGACTAATATGAACCCAAAATTTAAATACTTATATAATACAAACTTTTCTTATAAATTTTATTTTTTAAAAAGCTCTCTTGATGAATTCTTGACAGGGATATGTTATGAGCATAATACATTGACAATTTGGTTTATCTCTAGCCTAAGTATATAAAATTTAATTCATTAGCACGCTGAGATAAATTATTGAATATTCTAAGTTACCATCATATGCCGATCAACCCTTCCGGCCCAACTAAGACCCATAGTTAATATGGTAATCTCATGACCCATAGAGGGTAATACCTCTAGTCTCCTTAAAGAATATTAACCATCTCTTCTGTAAAATGTAATAATTATTAACCTCTGAGAAACTATTATCATACAATTGTTTCATAGTGTACGCTAAAGCGTTATCCTCATCTTTAATAAATTTCCCAGGATATTTCCAATCAATGTTTTCGTTGTCCAAATACGTGTAGCCCAGTCCGGCCATCAATATTTCATCCGTACTTCTCTCAATCTTTGGTATTTTGTAGATAATAAACCTTAAAGGAATTTATTATGTATTTTATAAAAGATACAATCGCTATATGAAAAAAAAAGTTTAGAATGAGGGCACAAATTAGTATATTTTTTAAAAATGAACTTTATATAACCATGCATACTAATCTCAGTAAGCATTCTTAGAAATAAAAATTATTTATATATATATTTTTTTAAGACCTTTTAGAGAAAATTAGATAGTAAATATATAAAAAAAAATTACTACAGTTTATATTTAAAAATTTTCTATTACCAATCTACATCTCGGTTATGTTCATTTTTACAATTCGCCCCTAGAACTATCGTGAATTCCTTAATAAGAACATTTATTATCATCAACGTAATGGCAAATATGGGAGATTTCATTATTACAAATTATGAAAAATATAATATAAAATAAAATTTTTAACTATTTTATTAGAAAAAAATTGTCTTTTCTTAAATAAAGAATTAATAAAAAAAATAATTAGAATTCAAAGTAAGCAAATTTTCTTATGAATACAAAAGGGAAATTTTATTTTCATCATTCATTTTATTAAAATATATAGCAAATTTTCTTAATCTTTATTATTTTTAAAATAATATTATGATAATAAAATAGAAAATATTATGTTTTTTCTTCTATAAAAGGTACGAGAAATGTTCATATTATTCATGAAAACGTATTTGGTACATAAAATGGTTGAAGTAAACTAAATTTTGTTTTACTGGTTATATATACTCTTATTTTAAAATATATTTCGTAACATAATCGATCCCTAAACGGATCGACTAACCTGGCGCATACGATTGTTATATTCATATCTTATTATTCAGATTTTGCTATCAATAACCTTACATTTATATTCGTTTAACCTTAAATTGAATGTATAATGTATCATGTAATTAACTTTAACATATTCTTCTTTTTTTCTTTCTTGTAAAATAAAAACAGCAACTAAAATCATTGAATTGTAGACACATCTGTCCAGACTCTATGAAATCTAATTTATATTCAATATATTATTTATCATTAATTGAATATATATTATGTAATCAGAGATACATTTAATTTAGTATTCTGACAGGTGAATCTAACTAAGCTTTCTTTCATTGCTAGAGATCGGCAAATCCCGACCTGGCTTGCGTGATAGGATAAGGGAAGATTTTGGGCCTGGCCGAACAAATTAAAATATTTACCCTTAATAAAATTTTGATTATGTTTATCATGTCGAAGCAGAGTTCGTTCCGTCCTGTGTGCGCACACCCTGCGATATTTTGGGAGTGAAAGATAATACATTGATTCCTTATACTAAAATCTCTCCCACTAGTCAAGAATGGAGGCTCATAGAAGCATTAACTTGTTATTATAGTTGGGATAACTAGACCTACGTTGATGATATGCATTAATGAGATTGGAGTGTCTCGAAAGGTACTAAACGTCAACCTCCTGGAATGTTGATATTTTTTTAGAATAGGGCCCTAAAACTTAGTGCACCCGTTTTGATAAGATATCAACTATATAATATAAAATACAAGTTTTCTATAAGTGTGGTGATTAATCAATTAAAACTTATAGTTTAGATTAGGTCCAATAAATTAATATAATCAATTTGTAATTTTTTTTTTATCATAAGTATAATCATCATCTACATGTCATAAAATTTGTTGGAGGTAAATCTTCATAGGCCTAGCCCCCTTAAAAAATTCACGATCTTTGTTAGCAATATTTTTATCCTCCATAGTACTATAATAGTAAATCGACGATATTTAAAGAATAACAAAACATTGGTCAGTGATAATTAATTGGGTGTTTTGGTACTAACCGTAACCTAAAATTTAGTCCTCTGAGTGAAATTATTAAAAAATTATCTGTGGAGGAATGTAGCGTTTGGGGAGGGGGGGATACCAGGGTGTGGGATTAATATATAATTTTATTTTTAGCTTTTTATTTAAAAAAAATTATATCATGTTATTAAAAAAAAACAGTATAAGAGTAAAAAAAAGGAGTAAAGTATCTTGCAATATTAAACGTTAATGTCACAATAAAAACTAATAAATGACTATTCAAATCAATTTATAAGTTACTCTGAGTTAACATCATCAACAGAGTTAAGAATTGAATTCAGTATTAAAACGAAATAATTATCTAGGCAATTCTTTTATCAATTATTTTGTCTTTAAATTGCAAATATTGTTTAATTTTTATTTTACTCTGCCCTCCTTATCACTAACCCCCTCCCCCATCTTTAAACAACTGAATTCATATTCTACCGATCATGGAGACTCTGAACAAAGTGTAGTACAGTAGAATATAAATAATCATAATGGATTTAATATAATGATATAATAGCGTTGTATTCTGAATAAATTTTAATTTAAATACTAAATAGTTTTTGTGGATGTAAAGTATAATTGTATTAATCAGGTTAATTGTGAGCCATGTAATTCGTGAAATTTGTAGGAATGTGTCTTTAGTAATTTGGGTTAAGATTATATGAATAATTTTTATTTGAAATATTGTGTGCAGTTGAGTTTGAGGAACTGGTTACTTAGATCATTACTTATGATTTACAATATTTATGAGAATCAAATAATTAAGATGAGATATGAATAATAGCTATATGAGGTTTAAGTTTATCTTATAGGGAGAATGGTGACATTTTTAGAATAAATTCATTTATATTGCACAAGAACATTTGTATATGGTTAAGCTTTTTAAATGTTATAGTTATTTTTTAAATTTACAAGTTGTAATCAGCTTTTTAATCTATAATTTTTTTAAGTCTTAATAAGTTATTTAATTCTCCAATTATAGAAATGGAATGAGTGATATTATATATTTGTGTGTCAGTTTGGTACTGTGTGTTGGATTTTAAGATGAATTTTATTATTTAAAAAAAAATATATATATAATATATTTTACTTGCCTTATATAAAACTAGCAAAAATGTTAAATATCCTACCACCCTACCATTCCCCTACCCCTCCCTAAACTGGCCTATATTACTTAAAATTCTAAAAGTGTATCTGCTACTCGTTAAATATAATTAATAACAGCTTTTGTAATAATCAATATTAGTATTGTTAAACAGCTCGTTTTGAGCAGATTTTTAATAATCAAGATTTAGCTAATAGATGTCCAAACCTTTGTTCCTTCTACAAATAAAATTTTTAGGCTTGAGTTGTATTATTCTGGAATATCGTTAGCCGTTTTTTAAAATTGACTCAAAACTAGCTGTTTAACAACACTGATCAATATTAATAATATGACTTTTTTTTTAAATCAAAATTTATATTTTCTTCATTCTATAATAAATAGCATTATAATATAATAAGAAAAAAATATTTTTTTTTACAGAACTTTTGAAAATACAAGAGAAGAAGAAAAAAAAATATATATGTTTTATATTATAGCTTATAAAAATGGACTAAATACGAAAGTACCTTTTTCAAAATTATAGAAATATCACAAGTTCAACAATAACACAAAAATATTTAATAAAACCTCCGACAAAATAATATTTTGGTCAATCTTGGTTATGTTGTCTTTATTTTAAAAAAAAAATCTTTGTTTCTATTTCAAAAGGTTTTGATTATAGAACTTTAAAAACTATGTTTTTTTTAAAAATTAATTTTATGAAACCTGACATTATTTGGGAATTTTGAATCATTGTTTAGTGATTATTAAAAATATAATATGTTATGTTATATAATAATTTGGCTATAATACTATGATACAATTCATTTAAAAATAATAACAATGGCTGTTATGACCAGGCAAAAGTTACAAAATATTTATCTATAGGGAAGACTTTTGATTTATAATACACTATACATATAAATGTCATAATAAATTGTGTGGAAAGTAATAAAAATATAATTTTTAAGTTTGAATCAATGTTTTAATAGTCACATGACGTTTAAGGCACTAGATCTTGATTGTTAAGGGAGAAAAAGGCTCGATTACATAGATACACGCAATCTATGTTATACTCTTGGTTTGGAATTTTGCTTAAGATATAAATAGATCTCTGTTCAATAGTATATGAGATGATAAAATACAGCTAACATGATAGCATTGAAAATAGCTAGTAGGATTGCTATTCTCTGCTTCGATACCCACTTCTTTAAAAAATATTAATATTAAAAGAATAAATTAGCAGATATCATAAGTGTATATTCGATATCTAATTATCATAACGATTACTACGTAAGTATCTTAACAAATCTTTGCTAAAATTACATTTTAAGTAGGGTTAGAGAAGTTTAATAACAATTATGAATTCAATTTTTTTTTTCGAGTAATTTTGATATAAATTCTAAAATATATTTTATATTTACTCTCAATATATCGATATCGCGTGACAAATCATATAAGATTTCTTGAATGAACCCAATGGGGCGCGATATGATACATGGTTGGGGCCCAATATCGGCCTCGTGCCTTAATTCTCCAACAAGGGGCATATTGGGTCTATTCCTATCTGGGGTGGGAAATCTATCTCTAATAACTCCAATGGGAGAGAGACGAAAATCATCTAAAATATGGTTTGCCGGCATTGAGTGTCGACTATATGATAAACTATATGAAGGATGCAGCGATCTATCCTGGATTGAATTAAATTTGCCCGAGGATCTAAATAGATTTCTCAGAAACCTGGGTCTAAAAAACCCATATTGGTTTTCGATGGAGAGATTTTTATGTATCCGATCCAACCTCACAGCGTGACTCATAGCTGAAATATTTTCTCGGGTCCAGAAGGAAGAGTGCCCGACCATGTAGAGTTGATTGGAAATAGGGCTGCAGTATAAACTTGGGAGGCTGCCAGTTAGGAAATTAACTGTATCGCAAGGGAATGGTTCGAAGTATAAAGGTTTTTTATTAATCGGCTTTATTGCTCGTATTGACCGTCTTATGAGCCCATTCGATCCCGGTTTAAACCACCGCTCTTTAGAAATAGGATGGTAAGTTGATGAAGAGATGAAAGGTATTATAAATGATTTAATGGCCAGAATGGTTTTCAAGTTATAACTATAGGGTAGCTCGCTTAATAACCTTCTCCTGGCTTCGAGTTTGGATGTTTGCTTGACATCTTAATTTAAAATTTAAAAAAAAAAATCTGTAGTGTTATTAGATATAATTCTTTATTATAATGCAATTTATCATTTGGATTAACTTTCTAATTTATTTAATAGATTGCTAATGTTAACTAAATGCCAAATGATTAGAGGAAAAATCAACATCATATCTATATATAAAAAGAGAGAATATCCTTATGAGAGCAATAATTAGAGTGATTCAATTATGGCATTACAATTTTGGGATAAAACTATAAAACATTTAAAAGTTGTTTGATATTGACAATCAATTGTAATAACTTTGTAGACAGAATATTATAGAGCAGTTCAAAAAAAAACATTATAAGATTCCTAAAGAAGAATGTTTGGTCAAGTAGATAAGGAATAAATGGAAATGTAAATAAAATGTTATTCAATTTCAATGTTTCACACAGTTTTGAATTAAGGAATACATCAAGGTTAAGCTTTAAGCCCAATTTTATTCATCCTTGTTTTTGTAACGACTTTAGACCAATTGCAAACATAGGAATCGCAAGTCCCGGAAAGAGAGAGAATAACAGGTAACTGTTAATAAATTTAATTGTCACAAAACAAAATATAGATCTAATAAATCTTTGGACATTTTAATTAGGCGATGCTAGTGTTGTCAATCGATTTCAGCCGATTTTTAAAAACTTGATAACTCAATATTCTAGCCAGAATATTGCCTAAGCCTCGAAATTTCACTAATAAATGTCCAAACATTTGTGATATCTTTGCAAAATCTTCAAGTTGCGTCATATTTTTTATGGCTAAAATATTGAGCTCGTCGTTTTTATATATCAACGTAAAGCGAGCCGTTTAACAACACTAGGCGATGTATTCGGGATAAGCAATCTTGTGTAAAATCTGAAATAATTTACTTATAACAGAAAGCTATATTTCGGTTAAATATTCTTATTACAATCATTTATGTTAAAAAAAAAGATACCGCGAATTGGAATTGGCGATAAGTGCTAAAAAAAAGAAGTAGATCACATTAAAATTATCATGTCTAGAGGATTATGTGGCGTGCGAAGGAATGAAAACTATTTTCTATGATATTTTCAATGAAAATTATTACTATATGTTCGAGGATCCTTTACATCCTTTTACCTTCGTTTCTTCGTTTAAAATTTATCACAGCGAATTTTTTCATTTCAAAATATAAAATTTGATATTTTAATATGTATTAATTTTAATAAAATCAAGTTATATTATTACTGGAAGAAGGTGTCTTGAAAGGTATTGATTGATTAGAATATTTTCGAAAAGATCTAAGACGTCTCTTACTGAAATAAATTTCCTTGAGCGAATCATTTGAAAATAAGGATGGGAAAGAGAAGGAAGATAAACGTGAAGAGACTCCAGAAGTCTTAGAATCTACTGTAAAATTTTCGAGTTTATTTGGTGTAGTTTTTTTGCGAGTTTTCGTGAACTGTTTAACCCTAACGGATTTAGGTGATGGTTCTATAAAACTCTCTGACGAATCTTGGGAAAACGAATCGACGCTAGTGTATTGCGTGTAATGGTCGAAGAACTGGGCACGGCCTGTTAATGTGGCCATCCTTTTAAAATTATTTATATTATTCGAGGCGAATTTATTGTTACCTCTGTGCTGATAAGGGCTAGCAGTTTGATCCTGTTGTGATGTATATTGTTCGTAGTCATCAATACCGAATCTCGTCCGATCCTCCTTTTCTGGAATGATTTGGGAAGTTATTTTTCGATCTCTTTCCGCTTTCTCGTCTAACGTTAGTGAGGGAGCTTTTGTAAACGTTTCAGGACTGGCTAAAATTGCTTTTCCTTCTTCTGTAGGGAGCGTAAGGTTACACGGGATAGAAAGTCTCATGTATTTTTCCCTCTTGAGGTATTCTTTTACCGCTTTCTCGCTCAATTCCCTATCCTCTATAATTCCTGTTTTAGATTTTTTTTTCAAAGGCGTTTCGCTGTCATCGGTTATATCAATTTGGGAACGTTTTGGTTTTAGGGAGAAAGATCTCTGATGTATAAATGAATTAAAACTCCTTCTTAATCCATTTCTACTAAAAGGCGATACGGGTTTGTTGGTTTTTTGGTCAATATTTGATGTAATGTCAATCTTCTGCGTCGGTGTTATTTCTGAGAGATCGGGTTCCTTTATTTCGAGTTTAACATAAGGTTGTTTGTGATTAGTTTTGGAAGTAATATTTTTTACCACTTGTTTTAATTTTTGTTTCTTGAGAAAATCAGTTCCTTGTATATATATATAATTATAGTCGTAAAAAATATTAGTTTTGATCTTGAATGATTTAATTTTACCACCTTTACCTACCCTTCCATCTCTTCCTTAGTTAGTACCTTCTTTTCTTCCATTCCCAATATCTTCCTCCGTTTTCCCATTTCCCTTTTCTTTTCCTAGAGTCGTTTTTTTAAGATTTATATTTCCTTTCCTTTATCCCCTTCTTTTCCTCCTATTTTCTTTGCCCTTAAAATTTTCATAAAGTTTCCTAAAAATACCAAAAAAAAATAATTGTTTATACCAGGTTGGTGAAAATCCGGCGCGTATTTCTTGGCGTTCAATCTGGCCAAGTCGGAATTATTTTGGGCTTTGATAGCTGACGCTTGAGCTTCTTTACCCTTTTCTTGAGCAGTGTATTTTCTATATTTTACGATTATTTTAAATTTTTAATTCCAAGTAAGAAAAAATATTTCTGCTCTATTTTTTCTTTCGTCCTTTTCTTTTTTTTATAGGGAACTGACTATTCAATGTTTTAAATATTTATTTAAATAATTTTATTTAATGAGCTTTATTAACCGCATTTAATGAGGTATACTTAAATATTGTTAAAAAGCACGAATATTATGTAAGGTAGGAGATTTTGTTCATAGATGACAGAAAAGTTTGGACCTCTATTAGCCAAATCTCGAGGTTTATATAATATTCTTTAGGCAGAAATCTTAATCGGTGTTTTTAAAAATCGACCCAAATTGGGAATTCTAATACATTATATTTTAAAATGAAAACCTAACACAGGCCACTTCGGCCTTGGAATTGGCTGTATTGGCGGCTCTCAAAGCGTGAGCTACCGAGCTAGTTACCCGCTCTTTCAATTTATTTTTGGTAGTTCTAAATCCTGGTACAAGACCGGTTGAGCCAAATAGTACTCCTCCAGATTCTTCTAGTCTTAATCCTAATCGATTTTTGATACGAGCCAATTTGCCTGATTTTGAACCCATTATTCTTTGTCGCTCCCGAAAATCTTGCTTTTGTCTGGCTATCAACTCATCGTTGACGTCAAAATTATCCGGCCGGTAACGAGCTTTGCCTGATAAAGGGATCAGCCTATGAAGGGAATGAGAACTGGCACTCAATATGCGGTTAACTATTCCTTTTTTATTAGCACCAATCGTAGCGGCCTTTTTATCAGAACTTTTAGTTAATTGTTGTTTGTTTCTTCTATTGTAAGGCTCCATATACAAAGAGTTGGATTGGTTCATATCCTCTTGGTCAATTATTAGGGAGAAGGGTTAAAATAAAAGTATAGAGATAAGAAGTGTGTAAGGGGGGGGGGGGTGATTTAAAGTAAATTATGTCGAAATACGTAAGACAACAATTTGATTAATAAAAACAAACAGTACTCAAAAAAAATACTTTACATCGAATAGTAGTTTTAAGTTCAAAAGAATATTGAGATATTTATTATAAAAATACTTTTTACCCGCCATCATACTCTTATATTTGGAACTTTGAAGTAAAGAATCAATATTTTTTAGGTTGGTAGTAGCCACGCCCCTCGCCGAATAAGTTTGAGATAAGGGGACAGTGTAGGTCGATACCTATTTTTTTTTATAACAAAAAAAAGCAAAAAATGAACATTTTCTACCTTAACAAATGTGGATTAAATATTTCTTTAATTTTTATTCTTACGAAATCTTTTGAAAAATTTCATTTAATGATTTCACCACTAATTTTATTTTCTTATAAATTTGCATAGTAATGTGGTTCTTTGAGAGACACATAATTTGAATAATTTAAAACTAAGTTCAATGATGATTCTAATTATGATGCTCAATTATTATTAGAATCTATCATCAAAAAATAGTCAAAAAATCGTCAATGTGATTTAAAAATTCCTATTGTTACAAAATATTTAAAACTTTTATTTATTTAAAAAATATATATATATATATATATATATTAAAAAAATTTGCATTAAAAGTTATATAACATATACGAAAACTATATTATAATAAAATTTAAAAACTATATAAAATAAATACGAGATATTAATATTTAAAAAAAAAAATTTATATGAAAACTGCGTAGAATCATGAATTGATAAAAAAATTTGATCTGCAAATTTCCAAGCTAGTATTCTGGATCAGATATAAGTATTCTTTAAGATCACCGGTTAGCAATGAAGGCCTTTTCCCTATAGACTTCTAAAAGAGGCAAGTGCCCCACGTCCAAAATTTTCATACTTTTAGATATGGATATAATGGATGCAAAATATATTTGGCACAACAGAGTTGGGCAATACTGCGCATATTTATACCTTAAATATATTAGATTTTTTGTATCTTGTACTTTAAATTTTTTGACATTTTAAACGAGACATATATCTGTATCTAATATATTTCCAATATTCAATTTTTTTTCGTGTTTTCTTGCACCAATATTGTTATATTTTATTTCTTCCTGATTTTTATGTTTTAAAATTTATATTCATTATTATTTTTGTATTTTGAAATACAAACTTTTATCAATTAGAATCAATTTTATGATTAATTGTACATATATATCCTTTATTCTAAAGATATTTTTACCCCACAAAATATTAGCCTGTTTTTCCAATCCTAACTAATTTAATTTACCGCTTCTACAAATATATAATTTGAAATATTTTCTAAATCATAAAATATCTCAAATAATAATCATCTTATTTTATATTAGAGGAATAAAATTTTAACAAATTTCCCTTTGGATATAGTATAATGGATATTTAAAAAAAGGAATTTTGGGGTGTTTAGATGTTGATTGTAATATATAAATCGTGGGTATTTTTATTTTAAATCCAGATGATTTAAAAAATCTTAGAACTTCCATTGAAAGGATAAACCACAGAATTTTATGTCATTTATTTCTCCAGCTCCTTAAAATAATCAACATACATATCGTATTTTTCTAGACGTACATGTTAATTCATACATATATCTATTCATATTGTTCGGTCCATAACTCATTGATTACAATTGAGTGGAACAAACGAAATGATATTGATTCTTTGTGAATCACGAGTTGAAGAGCGTATCTTGATCTCCACTGTAATCAAGCTAATCATGAATAAAATGAGCTTTATAAATATTTATGTTCCTTGAAAATAAATTATATAAAATATAATTTTATCTTTGAGTATTCCACTTTAATATAAAAATTATCATATACATTTTTTTTAACAAAAATATTTTCTACTCTTATTTAACAAAAGTTACAAGTATCTAATTTGTATTATTTTGAAATTTGTAATAAGATACTTTTATATTTATTTGCGATACATATTTTAATAAAAAATATATCTACCTTTTGGATAGGACCTGCCCTAACTCTAATGTTACTAGATGTGCAAAAAAAGCTTTGGTTTATTAACTAGCTAGATGCTTAGTTAGTAGCTAGGTTGCAAGTAGTGTTGTTAAACGGCTCGTTTTGAGCCGATTATTAAAAACGGCTAACTCAATATTTCATCCAGAATAATATAACTCAAGCCTGAAGATTTTGCTTGTAGAAGGAAACAAGGTTAGGGCATCTTTTAACGAAATCTCAAGGCTTAGGCTATATTTTTCAGGCTAAAATATTGAGACTTAACTCAAATATTGCTATGCTTATGTTATTTTTTATATCTTTTTTAGATATTTCTATTAGTATCGGAAACACATCACTATAAATAAATTTTGTAAGATTTCAATGTAGTAGTTTATAAAAAATATAAATGAATCCTGAAATCGCTACAATATAAATCTCTATTGGCAAACAGAGACGGCGATTCATATAAATTTATATGTGAGAACGGGAGGGGCTGCGGCCTATATGAAGTCGACGCCTAGGGTGGCAAATAGCTAATAAACAAGTCTCTAGAAGAGAGAAAGTTTCAAATCAGAGAAGAATGAGGGGGAAAGGATCTTAAAATAAGGAATGAAAATGTTTGCAATATCTGGGAAAGCATAGCTAAATAGCTACCCGAGGAATTAAAAAAATATAAGGTGCAATTCTTAGTTCCGAGTTTTCGTGGAACACAATATGAGGTGGCAGTAATAATGAAGAAAGAAGATAAAAGTGGGTCATAGTTTCATTTTAAGGACTAGTTATTAGAACAAAAATGGTAAGATTTTTATTTAAGAACCCATTTAAAATGCATCAACTATTTAAAAATAAATAAAATAAAAGGACATCACATATATAAATAAAATGAACTAGAATGTTATTCCTATATTTTCCTGGCAACATGGTTCCATCGGGTAGATATGTTATTCCGAATCCGTTTTTGTAATTTTCGTCCCACTCTCCTTCGTACCTAAGGCCGTCCGATCTTTCGGCCACCCCGAACCCGCATCTCTTATCATCTTTCCATTGGCCAGTGTAGATTTCGGTAACGTTCGCCTCCACGTGGGTGTCTAAGTCTAAAACGTCGCTGAAGTTTGCTTTAGGTAAGAATAGATGGTACAATATCATATAAATGCAATGTGATATAGTTCTGTCCTGTAAAATAATTTTTTTTTTCGGCGTAAACTGTTTTAGTTCGGTCCGGCTAGTGGCGTGACTTTATCATAATCAGAAATGGGAAATTTATAAACTTAAGCTAAAAATGTATTTTTTTAAATGGCTATATCTTTGTTATGTATCTAATTGAACTTATAAAATATTAAAGATTGGGAGAGGGAGAGGGATATATCATTAATGTTTTTTGCAAATTTTATCAATTTCCATCAATAGGGTTCAAAGTTTTACGCGTTCAAAATTGGATAAACAAAATCCGAACCTTCCGAGATATAAAAATTGATTTTTTTACTATCTCATCTCATCCATCGTTTACATTTTCTTTTCCATTTCCTATTTTTTTTTTAGTGATTTAGCATTATTGCATATTGTTTTTTATACTATAGTCAGGCTAATATCTTATATGTTATATAATGAAAATAGGAAGTTCATGATGATATAATTATTCATGCTGTATTCTACTACTCCTTAATTACAAATTATTGATATCTTTTGTATATTATTTTATAAATATAATATTAAATTTCTTGTTTCCTTTCATTTTTATCTATAGGACAAGGGAATAGATATTTGAATTTTAATTTCAAATATAATTTGTTTTGGAATCCATAGGTTTTTTTTTTGATATTTTTTCATTGATTTAATATGAATTTTTTAATATAATAAGTATGACAATAGTTATGTTTGATATGTATGAGAGCAAGCTTAGTGCTAGATCCTTCCTGGTCTTCGTCCTATTAAGCTTTAATTTAATAAGCATCAATAAATAAAGGAAAAGAGTCAAAAAGAAAAAATTTTAATAGTTGTGTAACAAAAGCCTTGAATTCGTATGTAGAAAAGTTAACTTTAATCGTGCTTAGCGTATATAAGATAGCCGACGGTCCCATGATCTGGTCCCACCATACTTAATAGTCCACTATCCTGTCTTAGAGAATAGACTGAACCGGACGGGGCCGGACCGCTGAAAACACTAATGAAAGCCTTCTAGCGAAAACATCTAATTAAATTTTTTTTTCCCTTTAGTTTAATATAATTTTATTTTGATGATAAATTTTATTTTATTTTATTTTCAATTTTAAATACTCACATAGTTTAAAAAAAACATATTACTTTTTTTATATCCTTTTTTAAATTTAATTATCTCTAGTTTTGATAATATTTTCACTATATAATTATATTATATAAATTAATTTTTTTAATATCTAATGAATATAACTATAATATAACAAGTATTAATAAACACAAAATATGTGTATTAATGCAAATAAAATTGTCATTTCTAATTAGGTACTAAAAATTCTTTAAAATCTCTATTCTATAATAATAATAATAAATAATAACTAATTTTAAATAAAAGTCATATTTCATATAGAAAGAATGAGATTAATAAAGTGTTTGCATTGTAATCAGAAAAAATTTTAGAATTTTTATTATAAGATCTTAAAAAGCCTATTAGTCAATACTGTTGAGAAACCAACATTAAAATTATAAAGTAACCCTTATACGTGAATTCTTGATTAGAAAATTTTATATAATTTAACAAAAAATAGTACGATTAAGTTTAGTTCAAGTCAGGTGATCACTCAGTATGGTCATCATAGAAGTGGACACTGTTATAGAGTTAATTTATTAATTGACCCAATAAATATGTCAATTTTTGGGGATTTTATTCATATAGATTTTCCTGTGAATTTCATATTATAAAAAAATATATAAAGCTTCCTTTGTTACGAACAATAAAGAGAACCGTCTGAAGGGTTTGGAACACGTGAAAAAGATAGGATAGAATATCTTATCAAAAAAAGGTAAAAGGATTATTGATAGATTGAAAATGGAGTAAGGGATTAAGTTATGAAGAAATGGTGAAATTTAGTGAGGGGAAATTTGATATTAGGCTAAATATAAGATAGAAGTAACTGAAGAAGTTGTTATGATTTTCGAAAAATATTCCTGACCTTTCTTGGATCAATAACTAGAATATAGAAAAGTAAGATTGATTTCAAACTTAGGCTAGGATCTACCAGGAGAATTTGTTCGTTTCTCTGTTAATTTCAACAAATATTTAAAAAATGGTTAAAATCAAAACTCTCAATAGCTAGATAGTTCAAATTCTCCAGTAAGTACGCAGAACAAGTCTTTACTGTATATATATCAAATCAACTGAAAATAATCTTATTTTTGTTTATTTTTCAGAGCTAATAATATATATTTACATTGAATACATATGTTAACGTCAATGTGTTATTTTTCCAAATTTAAAACATTTTTTGAGCAGCGCGTTTTAAAAAATTTTAAAATCTGATTTAATCGAAAATGTGTTTGGAATACTACCTATCCTATACAGACAATCTTTCCATGAACTTTTAAACATAATATAATTCATAGTAGTAATATTTACATATATTTTTCATATAAATTCTAAATGACTCAAAGGTTAGCAGCAAATTTGTCTACAATTCATAAGATAGGTATTCCAAACATGATTGCGTATATTTCCGATAATTTTAAAAAAGTGCTTAAAAAATGATTTAAAATTCACATAGTCGGAAAGAACACATTGAGGCTAACATATATAATAATATGTTCGTGTTTCAATTTAAAAAAATGGGTCAAAAAAAATAAAACCTGCATTAGGATTGTAGGTAGGCGGAGCGGAACCGACACTATAAGAGCTACTATCAATAGATTCATTCATCTTGGTCAAGAGATTTTTCTTGCTCAAACCCATTTTGAGAAAATTTGATAATTTACCGCCTTGAGGATCAGCTGCAGACGCCAACTTATTTGAATTAAGGTTACTGTTATTATTAGCGATATGGGGTCTATCCAAGGAGGTACCGCGACTTGCACCCGTTTCCTCAAATGAGGAGGAAGATTGGCGGTCACTAAATATGTTGGAAAGTTGCGATCGACATCTGCTACTCAATGATTGACGTGAGTGACTTTTAGCCGCATGGCCCGTTATCTCGTAATGAGGACTGTCCAGGCTTTTTCTATTATCATGTAATGTAGAAAGTATTCAATCAAATAACGCTGAAAAAATATTAAATACACACCTTGAAGTAAAAAATGTTTTTTAAAAAATTTGGTTTATTTTTTTAGATTTTGAGCAATCATTGAACCCTGATAAACTGAAAGTCTAGTGATGCCCCCTTCCCCCTTCCTCTTTCTTTCTTTCTTTCTTTCTTTCTTTCTTTCTTCCTTTAGGCCTAGTAGGGAGTTGACTCATTGACCCCTTATAATACCCATGGATATTAAGCAAATCTTTTTTGCTTGAAAACATATAAAATTATCTTTGTTCAAATATTTAAAATCTTAAATTTGTTATTGCTCAGGGTATTGGATAGGATAGACTGACTACTTATTGACCCAAGTCATTGATTCAATGACAATTATTTAATATCCTATGACATAATAAATACATATTTATTATATATTTACATTTGGTTATGGCTATCTTTGAGTAGCCGTTTAGCCGCGCCTAACAAAGGGGCTTTTTTAATGACTGGTGATTGGGAAGGGGATTGATGTGCAGAGGTTGTTGTGTCATGTTTCCCACCTTTTAAAGCTTCACCTTTTTTCTTAGCTTGGTAATTAGGATTTTGAATACCAAGTAGGTCTCCTAGCTTGTTCTTCCTATGAGCCATTCGCCTTTTCTCTTCCTCGTTGCTCAGGCTAACTCCTACACCACTAGTAGTAGCTGTTGACGTTGAGCCTGTGAATAATATTTATGTATATACGTAGGCAGATGTGACAGATCATTAAATGTAGCAACTAGTCTAATTTAGGCTCCATTTTGATTAGGGTCATGCTAAGAATTAATATAAAGTTTGAAATTAAATATAGATAGAACCTTTTGTTTCATCGCCAACCGGGACTTGTTGAGCAGTAGTGGTAGACAATTGGATAGATGCTCCCAATCCCCAAATATCGGCTTTGAGAACGAACCCTCCCCTAACCTCTGCTTGACCAGTCTTAATAGTCTGACGAGCTGCCATAAAATAAGGTACACTCTTCCGCACTCCATAACCATTACGAACACCACGTAGAAACTGACCATGATATGTACCTAGCGATTTTAAATAAATGGAGCCCGTTAACCAAACTTATATTTTTTTTAAAGTTTCAGCGTTTTTAATATAATTAATATATAATAATCACCATTTTTTTTAAACTCGCAAAAAATGATTATTAATAGTACAATGATTTTATTACTTATAAAGGCAGAGAAGTAAACTGCAGATTGTCTAACCCTTAATTTATATTTAGGGTAAATAGCGAAGAATACAAAAAATAGAGAATATTTTATATACTCCCCCCTCCCCTTCTAACTATGAATTTCGGGTAAATGACGGCATAAAAAGCTGTCAAAAAAAGTAGGCAAATTGATAATTAATTAGAATATATATTATATATAATGGAGACTATAATGACAATGAGCATGACCATGCTGTTATTATAAGTCTAATACATCTTTTATTGTGTATTTTCAACAAATCTAAATTCTTATCACATCATATATTTCCAAAAAATAATTAAATCACGCAAATTATAAGCGAACTTTAACGACTTTTAAATTTATAATCTATTTGTATTTTTTTTTAAATTTTCGTTATAACACTGACTATTTTATTACTTAACATAGGGATGGCCAGGATTCCGCTTTAATGTTAGGAGGGGTGCACCATTAGGTAGATTTTTTGCCCTAAATATTATTAGGGAGATTAAAGCCGATTAGTGGAATATTAAAAAAAAGGGATAAGTTCTAAATCACTAAAAATTGGGAACCTGGCTTATATCTCCTAGAAAATTTTTAAAGTAAATTTGAAATTAATATTAATAGATACTAGGGGACTAAACACTTGTATTTAAATTGAAAATTTAAATAACAAGTATCTTAAAGATTTTCTAGAAGATATAAGCCAGGTTCCCAATTTTTAGCGATTTTTGTTTTAGCGATTTAGAACGGGAACCAAAAAAAATATTTTTGGTTTTTAATTTTCTACTTTTTATATTAAAATATTTTTTGAGCTTCTTTTTAAAAAAAGATTTTACCGGAAATGTTTTCCAGTATGTTTATTGAACCTACTCTGTATTTTTTTAATTTCGAGAACTTTTGAATTTAATATCTTTTCATTTTTCCATAGATTTTTTTAAAAAATTATGCAAGGCAAAATATTTTAAAATTCACAGAGTGGTATGTATTCTAAACTCGCTTTTGAATAGATTTCCAACGATTCTAAAACTTGCGCTAAAATTTATATAAAGTTAAATAGCACATTGACAGAAAGAAACACATTAATGCTAACGTATATATGTCGTAGACCCGTGTTTTTGTCAAATTTTAAATTATTTATAGAAGAGCTGCGGCGAGGTGCCATTTACACGGCCCGACCCGGCCTGGATTATTTTTTTTCAAAAATTTTATTCCACCCGGCCCAGATTCTTTTTAAATATATTATATTTATTTTTAATTTTTATAGCTAATGGCTATTTAAAATATTTGGTTTTAAAAAAATACATACACGGTGCGGGTATTTTTTTTTAGAAAAATTTTTAGGGCTTAGAACCTGGCCTGTAGGTCTCTAATTTATAGCTCACGCTTAGTGTTGTTAAGTGGCTCGTTTTGGGCCGATTTTTAAAAATGACTAACTCTATTTTAGCAATAAAAATCAGAGACCTACCCGGGCCGGGCCTAAAAAATTTTTAAATAAAATATCCGTGATGGGTCGTATAACCCAAATATTTGAAATCGCTATTACTAGCAATAAAAATCAAAAACAAATATAATATATTTTTAAAAAAATCCGGGCCGGGGAAAATACAAAAAAAAAAAATCGGACCAGGCAGTACAAATGGTACCTCTGCAGGTCTCTGATAAAAATATTACCAAGCAGGCGCATAATCAATGGGGGGAAGGGGGGATTCCCCCATCGCAAATTTGCCTGTTCTCGTAAATATTGTTTTAAACTAATAAAAATTTCCCCCCTACACCCCCCCCCCTCCCCATCCGCCTCATTATAAGGAAGTTTGAAAGAAAAATTAATAAATGTTAATAACTTTTTTTTAATTTTAAAAAAAGTGAAAACCCAAAATTAATTTTATAAAAATCTAATATAGCCAAAGGCCTACAATAAGTGGCTAAAGATCTTCGATAAAATTCATGAGGAAAAAATTTATCTAATAGTGCCCCGCCCCCTCCAACCTTTGCAAAATTTTGTCTACGTCTATGTACCCAAGCTAGTGTTGTTAAACGGCTCGTTTTGAGCCGATTTTTCAAAACGGCTAACTCAATATTTTAGGCAGAAAAATATTGTCTAAGCCTCGAGATCGATAATATATTGTCTAAACCCTTGTTCCTTCTATGAGCAAAATTTTCATGCTTCCATAATATTGGGTAAAATATTGCGTTAGCCGTTTTTAAAAATCGGCTAAAATCAAGCCGTAAAACCTTATTTTTGACGAAAATTTATTCCAACATGGTGCAAAGTAATCGTATCTCTGCAAATTTTAAATAATTGTGCTAAGAATTTTTGGGCGCATTCTTTTTTAATTTATATATGAAAAATCGATATGAAAATTTTTTTTTATATAAATTAAAGGTAGTTTATAAGTTCAAGGCACAATTATATGATATTAACAGGATAATAGGAACTCTATACATACTAGGATACATTTCTGGCATAGTTTTTCAAAATTTTAAAAAAATGAATTTGCCAATATCAGATTTGCTAAAATCCTGGATTTTCTAAGACATATTCAAGTATGATATAGCTCTTAGGAATACAAAAAATAAACACTTTTTTGGCTTATTTTTTCGAAATATGAAGCTAAATATAATTTTCAAAGAATTGGAGAACTGATTAGACGTTTTTTTAGACCTATCATTATTTTTTATTAATCTAATAGAATTTTATTTTTATTATTTTTAGTTTAATCGGCAGGAAATCGAAAAAATTAAGAGCATTTGGCACTTATCACTTTTATTTTTTATTTCCTTGCAATTTCTCTAAGAAAATTTTGATATCAAGAAGAAAAAAAAATTAATTCAATTTTGTTAAATAATTTTTGTATTTTAAATTGTGTTGAATATTGGAAAAATAAATAAATATATATTGGATAAAATAACATAAAAATCAATTAGATAAAGGAATTAATTAAATTCTTTTTTTAAAAAATAAATATATAGTTTTATGAAAAATTATGAAATAGCATATGTTCTCCTCAATATATAATAACCAACATTGTTTCATTTTATAGTTATGATATGATTTTTATTATCAAATTTTTTTCGTAAAAATGATTAAAAAAAGTGATTATTTTATTTAAATAGATATTGTGTTGTGACCTTTATTTACTTTTATTTTTTTTCCATTTCTTTCATTCTCTGTTTCATTTATAAAGATTTTTTCCGTTCCTTTCCTCTCCATACTAAAAATGGCTCCTAGTGCCCAATCTACAGGCGTTTGAGCCATGAGTTAATTTTTTTCCCCACTTTCTAAGCGTTGGGCCATATTTACAAATAAAACCCGAAATTCAGCTGATAGTTTTCGGCCAAAAATAAAACTAGGTTTTCTTTAACCGCTAAAACTGATAAAATGACTAAAACCACTATAAAAAAATATAGCAATTACCCAACTGTACTCCTTATTAAAATTTATTATTTAATTATAATAATTCATATCTAATGTTAAGTGAACCTTATTTATTTTTTAAAGTAATTAAATTACTACAAAATGGCGGGTAATTAAGGCCGCAAAAAATAGGGAAGGAAATGGGTATTGAAATTTAGACTTATATATTTTTTTTAAATACACGGATCTTGCCACCCTTGTGATTTCCCCAAGGTATAAACGCGTTATATCGAAAATAAGCCGAGCAGCTTGTCATAATTACAATATCTATATTTTTAAAAATTATTAATTTTTTTATATTTTAAATTCTAGGGAGAATGATTTAAAGGAAAATTTATTGGCCAGTAACCTGGAATTGAAAGTGCGAGAGAGTGGAATAGATTTATTATAGAAAGGCCCAATAATATTGTCTGGTAGTTTATAGCCCTGAATATACGTAATAAAATCATGATAATTAATGGGCAAAATGCATAAAACACTTTAAAATTTTTTTTTAGAATTTTACTTCCGTCTCCGTACGTTTCTGAGCCGTATCCGTCTTGCAATCCGTTGGCCCAAGTGCCTTCGTATTTTGCAGCCGATGGCATTTGTTCAGTTGCGCTTATGGCCATCATTATTTCATTCTTTCCATTCTTCCCTTCTATATCTTCCTTTCCCTCATTACTTTTCAGCCCTTCTCCTTCTCAAGTGTTGTTTTTTTTTCGATTATAAAAAATTATACATATAATAAAAAAATCTTCCAATATCTTTGAGCAAAATATCTTTTAAAAATTGTCATTATATCATGAAAGAGTATTTTATGCATAATAATCACTAAAAGATTTCTAGCCTCGACTAATTTAGTTACGAATTTAAGTGAACTAATTTATTCATATGTCCAAAACATCTAAAATCAAATCCACATAATTCAAATGAGTTCGTTTAAAAAAATATTACACGAATAACATATGATTCCAAAAATTTTTGTTCCCGAAAATTAGTTGCTAATATCAATTGTGCAACTTGGACTTGGACTCTTACGCTAAGTATACTAAATTCGTAACTAATTTAGTGGAGCAAACCGAATAATTCTACAAAATAAATATAGAATTTTAGGCAAATTTTTATCAAAAATCAAATCCTGTAGAGCATTTCCGATAAATTCTTCATTTTAAAAAAAAAATCTATAGAAATCAATGATTTTCTTTTTTATTTCTAAAAGTATTATTTCTAGCTCAATAATAAAAAAATATAATCAGTTTCCTCATTTGTGACTTTTTAAATTTGATTGTATAATGAGTTTAAGAAAAGATTTATTAAAGTTCTATAGAGGAATATACATTCTAATTTACAGGTCTGACTTGAAAATAACCGGGCCCGCTTGGATCTTTCTAGGGGTTCCATTTCATGTATAAACTCAATCGAATTGTTAAAAAATGAAGGATAGTAACTAATCACGCATTTTAGAGTTATAAAGATTTTAAAACGCCACTTTTTTTTGAAAACCATGTATAACCCTAGTTGGAAATGGATAACCCATATGTATTATGAAATTATATACCCTTTTATCTTAACCCTAGTGGCCAATAAGAGTTTTCTCTTTCTTTACCCTAACCTTAGGTATTGGTAATTAGCGCGATCAAAAAATTAAATATATATATATCCATAAGCAAACATATGATCAAGAAAAAAAAATCCACTGCTTAACTGACCAAAAATTGCCCTAACTCTGACTTTGGATCCTGATTTATCTCTGAGCCACATTTAAAAACTATCCTTTATATTATGTTACCGGCTGTAGCAGGCAATATGTGTAATATCTTATTAACTTATAGGAAATTTACAATGGTCTATAGTAGAAGAAGAAGAAAAAATTTCGATCCAAAAAATGTGCCGAAAGAAAGAAAATATAGGTTATATCTACTATCTAAGGATGAAGGTGGTAGCGTGGAATGGTCTAAATCTATTGCCGACCTAACACCGAAAGGTCCTTTTAACCCCAATGTCCATTGGCCAGCGTATGTCCACCTGGTACGCTGTTCTACTCCGGTCCCATGCCGTTTTCCCATAGTCCATTCCCCCCTGTAGGTATATCCATTTGGCCACGTATAAATCTTTTTTTTTTCAAAATAGTAGATAAATAGATGGAAATATATGCAAACCAAGGGATTAAACAAAATTTTAAAAAATATGACTGGTATAGTTTTAAAAAAAAAATTTTTTATTGAAAAGTGCTCATTATCACGCTCCCAAACTAGGCCCAACATATTGATGAATATACTAATAATTTCGAATATTTCTGAATAGATTGTTATTCGTATTCATAAAATACCTATTGAATCGGATAACGAATAATTCGATACAGGCCTACGTTCCGTTATAGAAAGAGTTACTCTTTTCGAGATAAAAGCAAGCCGATTTTTAAAAACAGCTAACTCAATACTTTCGCCAGAAAAATATTATCTAAGCCATAAGATTTCGACCAATAGATGTTCAAAGTCGAACCTTTGTTCCAACTATAAGCAAAATCTTCAGGATTGCCTTAAAAATATATTTAATTTATGCAGTAATTTATTTTCCTCATTTTTTTATTTTTTGATCTTATAAAATTTTCTGTTTTAAATATTTATTTTATTTTTTTTCTTGCTTTTATTTTAGACATATTTAATTTATAATTAGGTATTTATTATTTATTAGATTTTATATTTATTTATTTTAACGGGGAAAAAAAAATATGACTCTTATATTAAGTGTTGTTAAACTAATTTGGAATATTTCCTTATAGATCGTTATTCGTATTCATAAAATACCTATTGAATCGGATAACGAATAATTCGTTACAGGCCTACGTTCCGTTATAGAAAGAGTTACTCTTTTCGAGATAAAAGCAATAGTGTTAAACGGCTTGATTTGACCCGATTTTTAAAAAATGGCTAACTCAATTTTATCCAGATAAATATTGTCTTAAAGAGTAAACAAATTGAGCGTTGCCAATAATGCGTTTCATGTGGCCTCGTGCAAATTGGTAAAATTACCGTTTGGCGTTAGCAACCATTTTTAAAAAAAAACGTAAACAACTTTGCTTTTTTAATATTTTATTTATTCTTCGTTTCGTAATTATTATATAAAATGTAATATAAATAACTTACTTGTATATCCTATAAAAAGGAATATTTAGAAATTAAAGAAATAAGAAGGCAGACGATAATATAATTTTCAAAGAAAAATCCTTTTTTTTTAGAACTTATTTAAAATTTTGAATAGACGGATATTAAGAAAGAGACAAATTGGGACGCGTTACGTTTTTTTGTTTAATTTTAAAATTACTAAAAGGTAAACGCTCCGAGATTTCGCAAATATATGTCCAAACCCTTAGGTCATATATAAACGCTTGCGTGAAATTTTTCTGGATAAAATATTGAGTTAGACGTTCTTAAAAATAGGCCAAATAGAGCCGTTTAACATCATTAACTTAGAAAATTCTTTTGTAACAATCATAAGATACCTGTTATATAAAAATAAGGAGTATTCATATTAAATGTCGTATGGTGAAGTGAAATACATATAAATTATGTATAATAATTCATTTACAATTATAATTTATTTATAAAAAAAATTTTTAAACCCTTTTAATAGTAAATTCGAATTCCCGATGTTCCAGAAAAGAGGAAACCCCCAATTTTCTGGATAATTGAAGAGATGATTTGTTTTAAATAAATTGAGATTCACTTTCTTATTTACCCCATAAATTAAGTAAAATAACCAACAAATATTAGAATTTAAGAAAGAAAAAAGATCGATGATTGGCGAAAAAAAAAGAGGGAAGAGGGGAGATTTTTGTAAATTTTTAGGTTTGCAACATTTATAGATAAAGTTAATTTATTTAGAGATAAAAATGTAAAATAAAGCATAAATAATTGAAAATTTTATAATAGATTAAACCTTGGGTTTTTTCTATTTTTTTTACCAAGATAATAAATTCTATATTATATAGTATAGATATAAAAAATTTAGTTCAATTTTATTTTTTACAATGCCTAGTTAAAATGATAATGCCAAATGGCATCGATGGGGGCAAAAAAATAAAATAAATATAATATTATTAGGGATACAAATGCTAACACTCATATATATTGTCAGATGATTCTAACCGCAACATATTTGTAACGTTGATAATTTGGCCAGTATCGGTACACAAAAAAAATGAGAAACGTTAAAATCTGATAAAATACGCGTAGACCTGTTAGAACTGATTCGATAAAATTCTTACGGCCCGGCCCTCGGGTCTGGTCTTATTTTAAGAATATTAGGCACCATTTATTCGGCCCGACTTAATCTGAAACACCTTCTAACAGGATGGCGTTTTAAAAAAATTTGAGGGGGCTTTGCCCACAAACTCGCTTTTTCCTGGCCTCCGGTCGCGTTAACTAATTCGTAGTCAAAAAAATATATACTAATTCAGGATTTATTTTGGAGATTTTTCTTAAAAAATGTTTATAATAAAGATTTGTTTTATCTAAAATTTATACAAATTAGTTAACATGGTATGGCTGCTAAACATATTATATTTAAGCACATATAGGGATCCAATAGAACGAGGAAAATAAATTTTTTTTAAACATCTGGTTGGCTCGATGTAGGCTAATATTTTGACCAAAAAATGTTAGGTAAGCTAGGAGACGTTTCTCGGAGATAGCAGAAGGATTTAGATTTAATAACGAAATCTCTAGACTTGTATATAATATATTTTGGTTAAAATACTGGGTTAGCCGTTTTTAAAAATCGAATACTACCCTGAACCTTTATAATGAGTACGCTTTTTTATAAAATGTGATTGCATTTGTTATATATTTATATGATATCAATAGGTTCAATAAATAATATTTAAAAAAATTACATTTAATTGATAAGGACAATGAGAATGCTCAAGTTAAATAGCGGAATCTTCAAAGGGTTAAATATTAATAATATACAATCTCAGTTCTAAAACCAAGAAAAATCATTAAGGCTGAATTTTTAGTAAAGACGTTATGTTCAAGGGGTGAATTATTTAATTCTATCGAAATCATTGCTGATTCTTCATAACGTTAATAATTTTTGTTCAAATTTTATCATAGTGTTCTCATCATAAAGCTACGATATTTATAAATATAGCTATTTATTGGCTTGGTTTTCTAAATAACGCAACCGCTTGAACATAACGCGTTTGCTATAAATGAGGCCTGAGTTAAAAAGTTCAATATAAAAATTTTTTATTTTTGAAAAATGATAATAAGAAAAAAATTGATGAATTAATTTTTATAAAATAATTACAAAAGTTTTGAAAATTAATACTAGTTATGGTTTAATTTATAATATTCCTATCTTATTTTTTTATAAAAATTTAACGATGCAAATTCAGAATTATTTAAAATTTATTCCTTTTAAATTTAAATAATCATAGAAAAATTAAAGATGTGGTTAAAAAATGTTTACAATAGCTTCGAATTATAAAAATATATTATTTGGAAATAGATAAAATGGAGATTAATTTTTTTTTTGATGAATTAATTTTTATAAAATAATTTTAAAAATTTTGAAAAATTTATCTTTTAATTTTACAATTGTATTTCTAATGTACATTATTATTTTTTTTATAACAATTTTAACGAAGCTAATTCAGAATATTTTAAAAATCATTCATTTTGATTTGAATGATATTTGAAAAATTTTCAATGAGATAAAAAACGGTAGAATAGTGATGCTGGTGGGAAGTGGGGGTTTACCTCTTGCAGAAAAGAAATAGAGTAAAACCGATATTATTTAAAAGATAGTCAAAAGGTGGAAGGACGGGGCAAAGCATTCTCTAAATTACCTATAAGAAAAATCTTGGCTACGCCTATTATTCGTTAAATTAAACTATTACCATTTTAATTTAAAAAAATTTAAAAATAAGAGAGGACAGTAAATGATTATTTTTGTACCCCGCTAGATTCGAATCCATTTCGCCAAAGCCCGCTAAACTCGCCCATACCTTTAGGTCCGGTGCAGACCCCGTAGCCCTCCGCTCTTCCTTCAGCCCAGGTACCACAATAGGTTCCCCCATCGTCGAAATCAAATCGCCCACCAGTTACCTGATTGGTTTTGGAATCTGTTATAATGGGATAGTTAAATATATTAGAGACATTAGATACTAGAGCTTTAGTAGCATTGGAGGATGCAGGTGGGGGAGAGATGCATATGGATATGTTGGGCAAAGGAACTGAGGGATTAATAGCTAATGGGGTTTTCTGGCCTAAAGTAGATTTGGTTAGCTGCTGGTCAGACGGAGTAGACTGGGTAGGGCGAACGATAACTTTACCAGTGCTGCCCGCTACAGGAGGTTTATTATAATACGTTGTTTGATGTGATTGAGATTGCGGTGGTTGATTTGGTCGAGAATTTTGAGCTGTTCTGTTATGGGTTACTTTAGGAAAGTGGAGTTTATGATGATTCTGGTCATTCATATTCGGATTCTGCTGGTGAGCGGGCTGTGTTAGGGCTTTCAAGGCTGTTTCGAATGATGTGGCCATATTTGTTGATTTATAAGTTACATTGTTAAAGGAGATTAGACGATTATATATGTAGAGTTTAAAAGAAGTCGATCTTCACATTTTATAAGGGATCGTGTTATTGGAATAGGAGATTAGTCTATCTTACCATGTTCGCGAATATAAAATGCGAATTTATAAAGGAAAACATAATCGAAGTCCTGGGAATCTAAATAAATCGATAACATATTTATAAGTGTTAGCTTTAACTATGTTGTGGTGATAATATATTTATTTTTACAAGGAATAAAAATTATCCCGTTACGCATAATTTTCTGTATAATATTTATTATTTTTTTTTCCCATTGAGCGGAATATCTCTTAAAAATTTCTTTCGATCGATTTATGGATATATTTATAATTTTATCAAAACTACCATTCGATTTCTCCTAAGCTCAATATGATTTGCAAAGAGATGTCGGGTATGTGATCTTTACGTTTTTTTTTAAGTTTACCTTCAGGATTAAAAAAAAAGAAAGGGAATTAAAAAGGATAGGATTGGATCAAGATGGTTCCAAGAAGAATTTATATAATGTTTACCAAAAGTCTCTGTTATTCGCGATAAAACCATTCTTGTTGAATTTCCATTCCTTCTGTCTACTGTAATATTTTCAATAAATGTTCACGGCGACAAAATTCCGAAATAAATTTAATTTTAAAAAAATCACGAAAAGATTTCTTAAAATAATTCTAAGGAAAGGAAAGAACCTTCTTTTTTTAATAATTCTTTAAGTTTTTATTATTTATATTTTATATTTATTCACGTGGCAGAAAAATAAAATATGTTTTTTGTTTTTAGAGAAGCAAAAAAAAAAGTTAGATATTGATTTTAAATGAGAAAAAAAAATTTTCTTTTTTTGATTTATATTACAATTTTTTATTTTTGGGGTATTTTTTTTTCTTCCTTTTTATTTCCATTTATTTTTAAATCTTCTTTTCATTTATTTCTTTAATTTAATTTTAATAAGTAAAAGTATGGTTAGAGTAGAGTAGAGTTAGGCAAAATAAAATTTTATATTTTTTTAAGTATTAGATGAATTAATTTTTAGATATTTTATTTTTAACGCTTAGGTTATTTTATTTTATCATTAATAGTGTTTGTCTGATAAAGGTTTTATTTTTTTTTTAAATTTTAATACCAGTCTTGATATTGATTATAATTTAATTTTAAAAAATATATTTTTGAATTTTTCTTTTCCTCTTTTCATTTTATATTATTTTCTCTGTATTTTATTTAGGTATTTTAATTCACTTCAATTTTATTTTTATTTTCTTTACACTACATTACATTCTATATTTATTATATTCAATTCCATTTACTAAATTATTTTCTTCTATTCATTTATATTTTTATTCTATTTTATTTAATTATTTCCAATTTTTTTTTTAAAAGACTAAGTTGGAAAAAATAAAATTTTACGGAAAAAAAAAATCAATAATAAAAATAAAATAAAAGAGTTTCCTTAGAATATTAAATAGGAGAAGAAAAAATACGAAAATACTTTTAGACAAATTTTATTTGCCCTAGTGGAAGGAAAGAATTGTGAGGATTTAAAAATAGAGAATAAAGGCGAGTGAAAGAGAAAAATATGAAATGAAAAATAAAAAGAAATTTAAATAAAAAATAATTGCAAAATATTTTAAAAAAATTTCAATCTTCTCTATAAATGGAACGAGGAGATTAAAAAAAAATTATGCTTTTTTTTAAAAAAATTCCTTCGATTATTGTGGAATGGAAGCATGTGTTTTATATCTTAATATAATATTCAGAGTAAACATTTTTTTTAATTATAAGAATTTATAATTCTTATATTAATTAGTAAGTGACCATCCCGGTTTTGATAATTGTTTTGAATAGAATCTCTAGTAAAGGACAGTTCAGTACCCTTTAGAAAGGGAAATTATATAATGAAATAACATCATTAATATGGGGGTGGAGGTCGGGTTCAGATTAACAACTCAACAGAATCATAACCATAAAGTGCATCCCCTTCCTTATCCCTTATATTAGAATACAAATGTATATATTTTTTTTTCATCATATTGATGAAAATAATAAAAATTCCATATTTCTAGTTACCTTGTTTTTATTTTTTTTTACTTTGCCCGAGAAAAATAGCTAAGGACAATATCCAAAAAATATTACAGTCCCGGGTTTTCCGGTTCTCCCCTGTCAGCAGGAGACCCCTAGAATTTTTTTCTCAACACCCCCAGAACTCGTTACCACCAATCTCTGGCAGTAAATCTCCCATCGAAATTTCCCGAAATTTAAAAATTTGTCTAACTTGATAAATAAGAATTTTTAGAAATGGTATTTGTTAAATTTAAAAATAAATTATCAGTAATGTCAATTGTTTTAAAGGAAAATTGTTATATCCTCAAATGAAAAAAAGTTTTAAAATTATAGTATATAACAGGCGCGTAACCAATGGGGGGGGAAAGGGGGAAATTTCCCCCCCCCCATCGTAAATTTGACTATTTTCATAAATATCATTTTAAGCTAATAAAAATTTTACCCCTACCCCCCAGACCCCCCCCACCCCACCAATCAAAATTTTTCTAATATTTGAATATCAATTTTCCAACATATTATTCAAAAATATTAATAAAATGGAAAAATATTTAGTCAAAGAGATTGAAATCAAACGATAATTTATAAATAAGGTTGAGCATGAAAAAAAAGTAATGTGTCGTTAGCAGCGATATCATTATTGAATTCAATTGATCAATCAGAGTTTATCATTGCTGCTAGTTGCATCAATAAATTATTATAGCTCACTACTTTGTAGAAATTTACAAAAACCAATTTAGATTTGGTTCAGGTTATTGATTTGGCGGAAAATATACATGAACAGGTAGATACAATAAGAATGAATGTAGACGTTGAACCGAAGGCTAAATTTTATGATATAATACTAATTAAACCTCGTCTAGCACCTAGGCCATTATTGAGATGAAAATAAATATAGGCTCAACTGAAGAATATTATAAAATATCCATTTTCATCCCATTCTTAGATACTTTTTTATCGCAAATAAAAGTACGGGTTTTAGATAAAAAACAAGTCTTTAGCAATCTTCAAGTTTTATTACCCAAAGATCCTTCTTCATTTTCTAATGCCACTATTGGTAAAATTAAATATTTAGAAAAATTTTATTCCTATGAGATTGATACTGAAATAAATTTAATCAGTGAATTCGAATTGTGGTATAAATATTTATACGTTTAGCTATTTTACCTGAGCATGCTATTGATGCGCTCAATCGGTGTAAAGAAACCTTGGCTCAATTTCCTAATATTTCGAAGTTGTTTTATATTCTTGCATGTTTGCCTATTACAACATGTACGAATGAAAGGACTTTTTCCAACTTGAGAGGGTTGAAAACATATTTACGAAGTACTGTATCTCGGCTAAATGGGTTAGCTCTGTTAAATATACACAGAGATTTGGTTCCAACGACAAACGAAATAATTAAAAATCTTGTATTTGATAAGAAGTTAAAAAAAACTTGTTAATTTAATTATTTTAGTCAATATTTTAAACTACTATTAGTATTTTCAATAAAAAAAATATATTCTACTTATATTGTATGAGAATTTAAGCTGAGGCTAGTTTTTAAAACAAATTTTATAAAAAAATGACATTACACTTTATTTCAACTTTACATTTAAAAAAACTTTATTAAATATAATATACCTATCTTGAAATAATAAAAAAGAGGCTTGTAATATCCTATCCATAAGCACGAATTAGTAAATAATAGTTAAAAATAGAAATATAATTAAATTATGAATAATTTAATAGAATAGCTAAATAAGACCGGGCCGAAGGCCAGGTAAAAGGGGTTTGAGGGCAAAGCCCCCAAAAAATTTTTCCCCCCCTATAAGAAAATCCTGGATACGCCACTGGTATATAATATGTTTTTTTTAAAATTAATATGACACGAGCATGTCATTTTGTCATTATTCTAGTGGGTAAAGCGGAAAATCTATTATTTATTTTAAATTCAATTATATTTTATCAATTACTATCATGACATCTTCAAAGTTCAATTGCCAGAAAAATATCACATGCTATATATAAAATATCACATCTCCCCAATATTGCTGATTTTAATTTCATTTATTTTCTCCCGCAATCTTAAATTTTGACCTGGCCAACCCTGTTTATGTCAGATAGGTGGACGTATGTGTAACATTCAATCTGATTAATGCATTAAACAAAAGGTTTCAACGAGCAATTGGGTTAAGGGAGATATTTTTGTAAGTCATTTTTATATATATTAAAATATGTTTTAATTTAAGAATAAAGCAATCAGTAGTTGAACAACATTCCTTGATTTACTCCTAACCCCTTATGAGCCTAATGCCTACCTCCTATATATAAAGCCAAATGCACCCCTTCCCCTAGCTCATGTAGACACTGCCGATCTGTAAAAGAACTGAGAAATACTTTAAGGATTATTGATAAAATACATTGATGCCAAGAGATAATCAATGCTACAAAAATGTCGCAGAAAAAGTATATTTGTAACGATTTCTGGAAACCAATTAATATGGCACAGTAATATTTATTATGATTTTAACTTTAATTAAGCTATAAAATAGAAGTGTTTTATGTTAGAATAAACTTAATACGCAACTAACAAACGTTTTAGTGATATGTCTTAAACGTATTTAAATTTTACTCCAAAAGATAAAAATAAAGGCATATATTTAAAAAAAAATGGTATTGGAGATCTTTGTTCTTCTTATAAGTTAAACTCTAGTTAAATTTCCTCAAAAAATTAAATTTCGAACATGGTCAAATCCGAGGATGTCATTTGCATAACTGTAAATTTTATTATAGTTATTACAATTACATAATTTAGCTTATAATGAATGAGAGTGAATGTGTAGGCAAGACAAAAAAAATTAGACAAACCATTTAATTTTTATTTTACGGCACCATTTACTGTATAAGGTATCTGGCTTTCCCAATTTAATAATTTTATGTAAATACCTATTAACTATCTATCCCATCGTTACAGCGGATAATGGCTAAACTTCGCATAATTCGACTCATTCTACAAGCACGTGCTGGAGAAAATCCATTAACATTCAGGCGTTTTATTATAGGTTTCAAAATAATTGGCCTCCATGTTAAAGGATATGAAAAAGTAAATAAGTTAAGGTTTTTGCTAAGAAAAAAACCCAATTAAAGGGTTCAGTTTGATATGTTTTAAAAGTTGGAATAACTTTTTGGAGAGGAATGCCTGTAAAATATTCTAGATGTTTCTCAGCTTTACTAGTTAAGGGGATAGAGGATACTGGGAAAGTCAACATTTTGTTTTTATTTGTGTAACGCATTGTGAGGAGATATCTTTCAAGTTTTCTTTCTTAAAAAAAAATAAGAAGTTAAATTGATTATAAAAAAAGTTTTATTTTAAAAAATTTTTTATTTCATAAATATATCTACATAATACGACAATGGATATGGAATATATAATTATAGGGACAATAGAGGATAATGCATATTATAGTAGTTTCCCAGTGGAATTGAAATCTTATTTGTATATATATATATATATAACGAGACTTTAATAATAATAATAAAAAGACGAACAATAATTACAAGTAAAAATTATTAAGTAATGCGCAATGAATAATGAAACAATGATTAGTGTAATTGTAAGTAACGGTTCATAAGGTGCGGGGCGAATATGGGCTTTTATCTCGAGTCT